CAACTTTTTAACATTCAATTACAGCAGTTCAGTAGATTTTGGAAAACTCACCCATGGGCTATGTTTCAGAAATTAGACTTCCCTTATTACACAGACAGAAACGTGATAGAACCTGAGCAAATTCATGTCAAGGGGCATCATCCAACAGTCGAATTTTTTCGTTTGGATATGTCTAGTATAAATTGCAGTCACTTTCGCTCTCGTCAAACCTTCCCTAAACTGTATTAGTCTCCGGAAGCCGCGAACCATTGCTACAGAAGCAGAATGTAACAATGTTTGCTTGTCACTGCTTTGGTCAATTACAAGACTGACTGATTAAATTTATATTTCTTACAAAATGAATCATACGAAAGATCCTTCGTGACGTGTACCAAGTCTGATACAAAATTTGGCGACGAATACGTAGAAAGAGTTGAGATTCTCAATCGGGAGGGATCACACATAAGCAGTTTGGTACAGTCAATATGAAATAAGTGAGAAGTACATCCATCAAGTCATCAAGCCAAGCTTACAATGGTAAGACAGTAGTTCACTTAAAAAGCTGCATTAGTGCTTTGTTTGTTATCAAGATTGGCAGTTTACTCTATTCCAGCTAATCTGTAAATTATATGATCCGGAAAGGAAGCTTATTATGCTATCTGATCGCTCTGAGTAATCAAGAACAACGATTAGCATATTAAACAGTGGGTGGCTTGATGAAATATAAACGAATAACAAATTCTTACATTGAGCTTAATTTCGCACGAGCTACGTATAATTTTCATGAATGAAATAATTTATCAACAACAGACTTTAAAAGACGAAGATGGATAATACAAAACTCGTATAATAAAGCATGAGATGATGCAGAGTTGGGTGTGATGAAAAATATCCCATCAATGAGCTAAAACATCCATCAAGAACTTGCAATACCAAATCGTTGTTAATGCGACAGCCATGCTAAGTCAACTTGATGTTTTGCGCTATCAAAAACGCTACGCAATACTGTGTGCACTGAGTTGCTGAGGTTTAATTCTTCCTAGCACCCTCGTAGGAAGAAACAATTTTGTTAAACTACCGCACCATCTAGGATATTCTGACGTCGAAATGAACATGGTTGCATTGGTAAATGCGTGGAACTCCCTTCTCCAACAATATCCTTATTTGTTTCCCTAATATCACCGAGACTCAAAGCAGTAGAAGAATCGTTCAAGCCATTTACAGTCGGAAGATGTGAGCTGTGCGTGGAGCTTTGACACTGAAATGAATATTTGTTTTTGCCACTTCTTCATATGCCGAATTTCGACTGTTCTATTTTGCAGTTATCTTATCAGTCACTGAAAACTGTTCTTATTTGATCGAGACATGTAGGCAAATAAACTTTAATACAAAATCACCATCCAGAAAAATTGCGCTGCTCCATGTATAAACAGAAATTAGCGATAGCAATAAAACTTTAGGATAACAAAATTAAAATGATTATTTAAGAAGGAGGTATAACGATCGAAGAAACTGTTATTAAAAAGCAGCTTCATCGTCACAAAAAAAGAAATACAAAAAGGAGGGCATTATGTTGTTTCGAACTTCGTTTCAAGTCCTTAGATGTCAAGGGTCAAGAATAGAGAAAACTTCATTGCAAACAGTATAATATTTATTAAACTACGAGGTCTAAGAAAATACTCTGGTGGTAACATATCTCTGGAAGCTGTTAGTGTTATAGAGTAAAGAGTAAGAGAGGCGTATGAGAAAATGAGAGCATTTAGTGTTTTTTCCTAAACCACTGCGCTGAAAAGCCGCGAGAATCCTTCAAAATAGGAAGGAAACTATCAGCGAGGAAGAAGGATCTATTTGCTAAACAGCTATTGCTTTCTTCTTATCAGTACCTGGTTTACTGCACTCTATTTTCTAGCGTTAGAGCAATAAAAAAGATCCATGGACATCGCTGCAGGCCATCCTAGAGCCAACAAACGGTGCATTCGAAGACACAATCACTACCTCTGAAGGGTACCAGCGATGTCTAGATCTATCTTGCAAACAAATAATTTGGTAAGGACGAGTAAATCTATGGAAACGACACATTCTGCTCTTCGAAAACGTCACTTCTTGTTATAAAGGGCACACAATCTACACTATTTTCCCGCGCAATTCTGAAATATGAAGAAAATCTGTGATCAACAAAACATTGATGATCAACACTTATCAGAGATGATGGCACTTAAAAAATGCGTCAAAACATATTAACAACAAAAGTTGTCACAACAATTGTTAAACGTACTTGCAAATGTCCATATTCATCATAGTCAACAACGGGTTGACCTGTGCGCAGATCAAATATCGAATGAAGCGAGAGGTTCGGACCATAATTGCTTTTAAATTGCTCTACCTACAAAGTCGTTACAGAATAACCGAATTAGAAAGAACTGAAATGCTAAAGTACTTCAACAAAAAGTAAGAGAACAGTGCCAAAGAAGGATTACTTTTAGACTACAGGCTTTGACACAAAAACAGTTTGAAACACGTCGGAGTGAACCAAGATTACAACAGCTCTCTATCGTAAAGATAGTCTTTCCAATGATAAATCAATATTTGATCAATGTATTTAACACTTTAAACAGGAGCTAAAAATGTTTAACATAAAGCAGATGTGAAGCAGGCAGCACATTTAATCTCGCCCTAATGAGTGTCCATTCAGTGATCTGAATGAACTGTTCAGTTTCGGTGAAATTAAATGATTAATGTATATCTGTTATATCTGTTAAGAGTAAAACTGTTCTCTGTTGAGTATCGGTCATGCGTTTATTGACAAATAATTCAAATCTGTCAAGATCATGCAAAAAAAAACTAAAGATCTTTTACTTACGTATAAGTACGTCAGTGAGTGATACAAAAGCAGTCTGATAAAACCAAACTACACTTTTCTGTCACTAAATTCCCTGCCCATCTTTGTCATTTAGTATTAAGTATTGCGTGCAATTACGAGTAGCCTAATGATTTTTGCAGATTTTTCGTATACTTGTCAGCTGGATCTGACTTTCTACTCGAACTATGAAAAATTCAGTCTTATCCTATTACAAGATAGTCTCATCCAACATTCATATTAAACTTTACATTCATGCACATCGGTGAATAGTAATTTAAGTGCTGATTCATTACAGCTAGTAAATCCCTTGACGAATTGCCCGTGCCACCAAAATTCATATTTCAATAGCTTGAAAACTTTACTTTTATAGGAAAGCATATAGATTTTTGAAAAATAAATTCAGCAGTTTCTACATAGACTAAAGCGCTGTTTCATTAAATAAGGTACCCTGGGAAGTACAAGTCCACAGTACAATTCATTTTTGGTTTCCTGACAGAGTGAAATAACGTCATTAACGCTGTAATATGGCCTTACGAAGGGCATAGCATATATAGAACTAGAGACTGCTAAGCTGCGCCGTCAACGTCATCGTAAGGCTTTAAGTTGAGGAAAAAGTAAATTCTGCAGATCTGAAAATGAAAACAGACTGTTGTGATAAACCACATGAACAGTTATCGAGCATAAAAAATCAATTTTGGAACATCCAAATTTGTCAGACCAGAGTAACAATTTCTTTCTTAAAATAGATTAATGAAAATGTTACTTACTTTTGAAGCCTGACTCATCCACGAGTACAGAATTCCTCTCATCGTTTTCACTGCTGAACCACCAAGTTCGTATTGTCTTCCTCTCTGATCATCAACTCTACTAAAATATTTTTTATAGAAGACGCCGAAGGTTTATCTAGATTCTCTGTCGCACACTTTAAACCAAGGGAGTGATGTTTTGATTCAACAGATTTGGGCTCAAGCCGTTTAAGCCCAAAAAACTGATTAGAAAATTAATTACAGCATAGCTACTCATGACCAATATTCAGAAAAACTAATTTTAAATTATGATAATATAGTTAAAGAAATGACTTTCAACATTTAGCTCTGAAACATAAAAAGAATTTACATTTTAAATTTTCATATAGGTGGTTTCAGTTAAAATGTTGAACTCAGTCAGCTGTTGCTTTATTTTCTCGTGGTAGCCTTGTTTGTTGTCCAGGGTTGCGGTAGTTCACTCAGCAGCAGTTACAAATTTGCAGTCAAGAGTCACAGTGTGAGTTCGATGTTCAGTAAATATGTTGTATTTCATCCTAGAGAACGGTATCATTATAGAAGAATGAAGTAAAGGTCTGGATACCATAAAAGCCATCTATAAGTAGCTACCAGTATCGAAAAAACAGCGCAATTCTGAATTATGACATTTGAGCAGAGCACAATAAACATCATGAAAATAAAATCACAACATCAAAAAATTTAGGACCATACACCGCGACCTGCAAAATGATGCGAGATACATCTATGCTCTGCAGGCACTTAAATTCAACGGAGCCACAATTATCTTAAACGACTTCATAAGCTTCCAGGAACAAAGGAACGCTGCTATAGGTCATAAAACCCGGTATATACCAGCTAAACTAAACAAATTACGACAATCCAGGTCCAGTCAATTAAAACAGGAGAAAAATTTTTTTCAATGTTTGGGCAGCAGCATTCAATGAATAGAACATGCTGTCTGGCGGTAACATTCAACAGTGATAACCTGCAAATGTGAAAACACGCAAGTGGATCGGTCAAACCAGCACACAGCTTCATTCTACAATGAAGAAGAAAGCCATGTCTGTATTTTCACATCTGCATATACCCTCGTTTACAGCTACAAGGTCATATTTCTGTTAGAACAAATAAGCAGAAATTGGATTCCTTCGCTAGGCTAATAGTGAGGAAGAGAGAAGAAGCCATCTGATTTAGGACTGTCAATCCTTCGAATCCAATCCATGGAGTTTATCTGACAGTTTTCAAATGGACCGTTAAGAAAAGTTTCTTGAAGTCACTGCACCGTGAAAAGGTAGACTCACACTGGTACTCCTCATGGCTGCAATTTTTCTGGCCCAGCTGATGAATGACGGAATCGACATAGGCTACTCCGTAAATAAGACACTGTATGAAAAAATGAATAACATAATACCCTCATACCACTGTCCAGTTTTCTAAAATCACTGATATGTCAATGATCCTTAAATACTGAGTCGATCTGAGCTCATTTTGGCCATTTTTAAAATGCCCTCAGTTTTTCAACATTTCGTCCGTCGCATTTTGCACAAACATAAATTTAAATATGCAATAAATTAAATAAATAATCTTATATCCTGGCTAACAGAAGCAAGGGGGCGGTGCAATACTGCGGTACTCCAAGGTGTAAAATTTCCATCTGTCACTACGACAGTATCGGCGTAAAGAAATGAATTTTTCTTTACACTGTTTTTATCGGTAAAATCGGGTATCATTAATTTTAA